AAAAAAAAAAAAAAAAAAAAAACAGACCATCTTCCAAAATCAGATGGTAGTAGACATTCTAACAGTAGCACGGGGCAGGGGGGAGAATACATGCACAATTGTAAAAACTAAATGTTGTATGTACATTCCTGATCCTTCTGCTAATGTTTCAATAGCTGTTCAAGATATTAGACAACAAACCAATAATATGTCAGATTCTAAAATCCCCAGGACCTTATTCCTATCCTCTTTATGGGAAGCCATTACTGGCTTCTCTTGGTAAAAATGTTGAATGTATTCATAATTATCCTGTTGATCTTACTATTTGGCCCATACATACTTAACTGTTTCTTTGGTTTTGTCTCCTCCTTAAAGCTACATGTTTACCCAAGATAAAAATGCCTGGTGTCTATCCACAGCCTTTAGATAGACCCTCTGGAGAGTATCTTGGACTGCCGACCAACAACTACAACCCACTTCAGCCTGAAGTGGCCAGAGCGGTCATCGCCCATTACTCCCTCACAGCAGTTCGGGTTACTTCTTCAGAGCAGGGAATGTCATAGGCAGCTGAGTTAGACAGAAATATTATAGGCAGTCAGACAGGGCTAGGCCCTCTAAGGAGCCAGTATGGAAGGTAAAATACCTTGCAAATGGAGAGACTGGTACTTCTGCTGCAGGTCTGACCTCAAAACAAAAGATTAAACAAATGCACCCACATACCTCCCTTAGGCATGGACATCGGGGATTGATATTCTAAATAGGTAGGAATTACCTTAAAGAGTCACTGACCCAATCCCTTAAAGGAAAAGCCCCTATTCTGTATTCATGCCCCCTTGCTACATGACTTGCTTCCCCATTTGAACCCAATTTAATCAATTTTACCCAAACAATTATAATCTTATTGACTCACCATAGTTTTGTACCACCTCATGCCTACTTTGTGATTTCCCGTTTTTCCCCTACCATGGACCCACCTCACCTCACGGTTTTGCTCTATAAAAGTCCCTAGAAAAGACAGGTTCCTGGGCAACCCATGGTGGGGGCCTTCTGTCCCTCTGTCAAGCAGCTGCTTTCTTTCCCTCAATAAATATATTCTGCTTTAAAAAAAAAGTAGAAAAAGAAAAGACAAACTGTAATGGGAGAAAAAGGGGAAAGGAAAAAAAGGGGAAAAGAAAAATATATATGTATACACAAGATAGCTAAGAGAGTTTTACAGATAGTTCCTTGAAAAGACTGTTTTATGCTAAAATACTGTTTGGACAAGATATCACGCGTATATCTTATACTCTGAGTAACTACTATAAAGACAATATGCAAAGTACCAACTATTATAACTGTCCTACTAACCTGTTTTAAAACTTGATTTCATTGTTTATTTTTTTTCTCTTTACAATAAAAAAAAAAAACCAGTGTTGACATTCCATCTCGCCCCAGAAAGAATGGCTGTTATCAAGAAATCAACCAGGGGCTGGGGATTTAGCTCAGCGGCAAAGCGCCTGCCTGGCAAGTGCAAGGTCGTGAGTTCGGTTCCCAGTACCGGAGAAAAACCAAAAAAAAAAAAAAAAAGAAATCAACCAGTAACAAATGCTGGCGGGCTATGGATCAAAAGGAACCCTTCTGTCCACTACTGGTGGAAGTGTGTACTGGCACAACCTCTGTGGAAATCAACATGGAGATTCGTCAAAAAACTAGGACTAAAGGTTCCATTTGACCCAATTATTCACCTTCTTGGTATCTTCCCAAAAGGATTAAAAGCATCATACCACAGCGAAAAGCCCATTAACTGGCAAATGGATGAAGAAGATGGGGTTTTTTTTTATACAATAGAATACTACTCTGCCATAAAGATGGATAAACTTAAGGCATTTCTAGGTGAATGGATACAACTGGAGACTATACTCTTAAGTGAAATAAACTTGACATTGTAAACACATTTTTTCTCTGGTGTTTGAAACCAAAAGTGTAAATAAGGGCCAAAGTGTATAATAAGTATTGTGAAATAGGAAGAAAATGTTCAAATGGGGATGGGAACAAAGGAAGCATGAGTGGGAAAGTAAAGAAGGGAAAAGTAAAACAAAAAGTGAGAAAAGAGGGAAAAAACAGAGCCTAAGCTCTTGTAAATGGGAAGGGGAGAAGGAGTTGAAGGGACGGTAGGGGAATGGAAAAAAAAAAAAAAAAAGGAACAAGTTCTATCCTGTACAGGTACAAATTCTCTATGATGAATATGATCATTGTACACACCTAAAATGTACCAACAAAATCTGATTATAAAAAAAATTTTTTAAAAGTTTGTAAACAGCTGCACAAACCCAAAAATAATGCATGACTTTTTTGCATTATTACCTTTATTGTTAACCTGCAACTGTTCTGATAATTGAATAGGTACATCTAAATTTGACACATTATAGTAATACACAAGAGCAAGATGAACAACTGTAAAGTAACCTAAATTTAGTTATCCTTCTAAATGAACAGTAAGATTATAACTGAAAAAATATTATTTTTTATTTTATGGAAAAAACTAAAACAAAATTTCATAACAAGATGATAGAAAAATAACAATAGTTAATACATCACATATTATCTTTAAAGTAGTTACTCATAGTATAAGATATGGGCATAAAATAATCTCCAATCAATATTAGTGCAAACCGTCCTTTTTTATGAACTCAGAGATACTAATAATATAACTAACTTGGATTTTTTTCTCCCTTTTCCCTTCCTTCCTTTCCTCTTTCCCCCATCCTAGTTTCTTTTTCCTATTTAACAATTTCTTCCCATTTCACAATATCTATTGTACATTTTAGACCTTATTTACTCTTTCAATTTCTCACACCCAGGAAACAATATGATATTTACACATGTGACTCTGATTTATTTCACTAATGAGTATGGTCTCAACTTGCATCCTAAAATATTGTTTTTAATACAGTCTTCTGACAGTTAATGTTCTCACAAGGATACTTTGGCCAGTACACAAAGTGTAGCACTTTTGACAGTCAGTAAGCTTTGACAATTACAAACTTTTACAATATCAATTCAAATTAAACATACTTCACAAAAATATCTCTTACAAAAATATGCTAAATTTAAAACAAAAAAAAGATACACACCTGTAATCCCAGTACTTAGGAGGCTGAGGCAAGAGGATCACTGTAAGCTCAAGGCCAGCCTGGGCTACATAAGAAAGTTTAAGACCAGTCTGCACTACATAGTGAGACCCCCATCTCAAAAAAGAAAAGCAAAAAGAAAACAAAACAAAACAAAACATCAGATCACATCAGATCAGACCAGATACTAAGATAGCTAGAACATACACAAGGGTAAGCAAGAAAATAAAAAGTAGTAAACACAAAAATGGATTGCTGGGGATATTTTTCTATTTCAAAAATTCTATTTCTTTTACATAAGCCATCTATAATTTAGAATTCTAATGGTATAATTTTAATAATTTTTTTAAACATATACCTGTAAACACCTTTCCAAAATATATACTGCCACAAAGACCTAAGATTCAAGTTGTTTAAACACTGGATTGATCCCCATAAGCTTTAAATACCCTTAACATTTCAAAGTAATACACCTGAAAACAATTGGGCTGAAATTATGTTTTGTCGTTTCGTTTGTTCTCTGGAGACAGGGTCTTGATATGCAGGTTGGTCTTGAACTCACTATGCTGCCCAAGCTGGCCTCAAAATTGCAGTGATCTTCCTGCCTCAGCCTCCTCAGTGCTAGGATTACAGGCATATGCCACCACATCTGACTGAAATCACATATTTGCCACAGTGAAAGTGGAGCTTCAATAAGATCAGTCATTATGGTAGCATGCATGAAAGTTGATCATGAGATATTCCATACTCACCTTCCAACTCAATCGAATCAGCAATGGAGAATGTGCCATGTACCACATAATGGCCAGGACAGACAATAACAGTGTCACCTTCATAGCAGGCATTTATAGCAGACAATGGATCACTATGGAACTAGAAAAGAACAACATATTGCAAATATACATCATCCAAAAGCAACCCGCATATTTCTCCAAGTGCCTGCATGTTTTACTTCAAAAACAGAGCCAAAATTGCCTAATTAAGTATATTAAGTATATCTTCATAAACAGTGTAGTAAGCCCAACTATGGTTGCTAAGTTACTACTGCTATTGAAAGGATAATGTTCTATTACCCATTTTTCAGAAAACCAGCTCCTGGAAACATTCTGTAGAATTTACAAACCCTGGGATGAATCAGAAGCCACTTGAAACAAGAAATTTTCCTTTTACCTGAATTTCTATATCTTCCTTAAAAGGCTCCCCACAAAACCTATCCCTGAGCAGAGATCGTAGTAAACTTGACATCATGGTGGAGGACACCACATGGGTGACCTTCTGGCCATTTGTGCGGACACCTTTTGCTTGGATATTAGAGTTCTTCTGATAACCAAAAACATATCTTAAAGAAACCAAAAAGACCTATTAGTTCTCAGTAAGAGAGCCAGTAAAAAAAAAGATGCTAACTAGTTAAGAATAACAAAGACATACATACCTCAACAAAGGATTCTCAATGAGTTTTAGCTTTCGTTTCAACTGTTCAATTTCTGAATACAATTTTAACCCTTCCACCATGGAGATATTTTCCTGCTCAGAATCAAAATTACAATTTGACAAACTGCTTCTCAGATTTAAAAATTTCCTGTAACTTTCTTCACACTGAATCAACAAATTGCGGTAGTCAACAGTAAGTCCTGAAGGAACTCGGTCTTCAAGAATGTCATAATGCCTGAAAGTTTAAAAGCAAAGTGAAACCCTTTGCCTTTCAGGCATTTCCCTATCATGAAGGCCACACATTTAGTCCACAAAAACCCAGTATTTTATAGCACCTAACTCATTTTATAGCATCTAACTCAAGAACATGCAAAGTCATTCTGAACAGCACTCTACTGTAAGTGGAAACTATTGAAGTTTGAACCACCACTTAATGAGTCACTAATTTCTTCTTCTGAAGTGATGTTTTTCCACAGATGCCAAGCATTTGTGTTTTTAAAACACTGTCAACTCATGTTGCATAATTTGTGATTATTTAATAAATTATTTTCTTCTCAGATTAAAAACAGTAAGTCAGTAGTGGGGCAATTTAGGAGTTGCATAAGGAAGGAATTGTTTCACAATAATGTTTAAGATTATCATATTTGTAGGTTCAAAATTTAGAAATGATTCAAATTATTTAGTCCTTCCTTGTATCCTTGTATGTAAAACATCTAAAGCACATCGCACAAAAGTTTGCTGAATATTCATTCCTCAGGAAGATTATTAGAGAAGTTCAAAAACACATAAGCCTTTAAAATTGTGAAAGAAAAAAGTTGTCATTACTAATGAGTGACTAAAACAAAATTATCTTTACTGGCACTTAAAACTTATTAAATTATATATTTTCTCAAATATGGAAACAGATCAAAGAGTATTTTAAATGTAATAACTTATGGATGTAGAATCAAGCTAACAGAATGAAAATAGAAAAAAGATAAAAAATACATTTAAAAATAAAGGACATCACTGTCATACACAAAGTTTTTGCTTTTGTCTTTATGAGACAGGATCTCGCTATGCAGTTCAGGCTGGCCTTGCGCTCACTTTGTAGTCCAGGCTGGTCGTGAACTTGCAATGATCCTCCTGCCTCAGCCTCCTGAGTGCTAGGATTACAGGCGTGCACCACTACACCTGGCAAAAAGTTTTTGAATAATTGCTTTATTTCTCAGTTAAAAGTATACTAATGCAAGGAACAATGGTACATGCATATAATCCCAGTTACTCAGTAGCTGAGGCAAAATAGAAAACTTGAGGCTAGGTAAGAGAGCAGGCCAAAAGGGCTGAGTTCGATGTGGGGAGAATGAGTCTGCTGTTGGGCAACACTTGAAAAGTGAAGATTTTGTCTACTTTGATTAATCCATATTTTTAAAAAAATCAGAATTAAAAAATCATAAAAATAAAAAGGGGTTCAAAAATAGACACCAAAAAATAAGTAAAGCTATTCTGGAAATTCGTTTTGCAAATAAGAATTTAGAGAGCAAACCTCTGATGGGTCAGGTCTATTAAATTGTGGCGATCAAGACTCAAATTTTAAGTTTCTTAGCTTTTTTTTTTCTATAGGGATTGAACCCAGGGCATTTACACTGTATATCCCTAGTCCTATTTTGGGGCAGTGTCTGGCTAAATTGCTTAGTGGAGGCTCAAACTTGCGATCCTCCTGCCTCAGCCTCCTAGTCTGCTGGGATTACAGATGTGTGCCACCACACTTAGCATTTTAGCATTTCTTATATCCATGCTAATCAACTTATTTCTTCTCATTATATGGCTGCTTCATAGTCTGGAAACAATTAACCAACATCTATCTCAGACTTCTAAGTTTCAAAATAGTATGCTCTGAATTACAAAGGAGAAAAATTTACCACACAGTATAAATCAAGTCACAATGGTTTGACTCTTTTCAAATCTTGCCTGTTGGTAGCCCTATTCCTGTCTTAGCTCAGGGACCTTTTTAGATGTGTCTACATTTGATAACATTCCTACTTCTCCATCAAGCACCACAGTTTCTTCCCCAAAGCAGAAACCAATTCCTTTTATTCTTTTCCATCTGCCAGCACTATATAACATATGTATGTAAATCATGTCTTACTAGCACATGCAAGGCTGTCAAATCAGAGTACAATTTTTCTGCAAGATAAAACTGAATTTTTCAGATATATATGATATTCACATTTCATTTCAATGAAAACCAATCACTGTTTAAGAGCAAGCATTATCAAACCTAGAAAATATTCAGGGTTACTGAAATTTTGGCATTTTATTGAATATACTATAGGAAAATAAGATAGGCACAAAGGAAAAAATTGTACAGGCTAAATAGAAATTATGGCCTGTTTATGAATAGTTGAAATCAGACATATATAACTTCAAACCAGGTAGAACCATTAACCAAACTCCATATAATTTTTACTTAAACCAAGAAAAACTAAGTGAAATTGGGTTCTATAGAATGTGAAGGCTGACTGCCTTGTATTATACAGTCATATCATCTTTCAACATGGAAAATATTACCTTCTGTAATTCTTTTTTGGAGTGCAGTTTCTAATTTTATTCTTATTACAGTTCTGCCTATTACTATACATGAATATAAGAAAAAAAACCTAATGGTCTTAAAGCACTACTTAGTGGAAAGATAAATGTTACATTTAATAAAGTCAGAACAATTATTTGGGTTACATAGTTAATTTTCTTATGGAATGGTTTTTCCTTGCCAAAATATTATAAATTGGAAAATACAGTATTGTCTTAGTTAATTCTCCCTCATTGCTGAGATAAAATATTGAACACTCAAAGTTAAAGGAGGAAAGGTTTATTTAGCTCACAGTTTGCATAAGTTTTAGTCCATAGTTGGTTGGCTTCAAGACAAGGTGGCATGGCAGAGGGGAAACAGTTCATGGCAAGGGAGGACACAAAAGCAACAAGAGCAAAAGGGAGGAACAAACCTCTTTTCCCTCCCTTATAGTGTATGCAGGCTACCCACCCTATGGCGGGTGTAGCACTCATACTCCCAAGCCCAGCACTAGACAATGAACCAATCACAAACTCTAGATTCAGCTGTCTCAGAAAAGCCTGCTCCCCAGGACCAACTGGTTATGAGAACATCCATAACCAATCATCAGTCACTAATCATAACAAGTACGTTTCAGTATTCTGGAAATTTTTATTCACCAATATTAACTATTTAGTCTTTTCATCTATTTGTCAAGCATTGCAAGACCCTGACAAAATATCCTAAGTCTGTTAGCTTTGCCTAATGTGATTTACTATAGAAATTTAGAGTAAGGCCACATAACTTTAAAAATATTCTTCCTAAAAAAAATTAAAACAGGAAATTTCTGTAATTCAAAAACACCTTTCACTGTTTTTCGTATGTCTTTGAATTTAACAAAGAGCTTTTAGCACACTGGTTCAACTGAATTTTCTTCAGATTTACAAACAGTGACCTATTACCTTGGTTTTTTTTTTTTTTTGAGACAAGTCTTGCTCTGTAATTCAGGTTGGCCTAACCCAGGCTGGCCTTGAACTCTGGGTAATCCTTCTGACTCAGCCTACGAAGTGCTTGGATTACAGGTGTGGGCTACTATGCTCAGCTGATGTTTTTGACCTCTACTTTAAAACTAATAAGCAGATGTTTCTGCCTTTGCATAAGTTTCATTTAATACTTGTTCAGGGGCTATACTATTTGTCTACCAGTCTATTTCTGTCTGTGAGTCCCTAAAGTCTATGTCCATGTGTCTGCTGAGAGTATGTATGTGTGTATCACAACAGTAAAATAAATCCATGGATAGATAACCACTTTTCCAACATGTACAGGAAACACTTACAATCTTAATCGGGGTTCAACACATCTGACAAAATAATCATATTCATCGTCTTCCTCTTCATCCCAACTCCTCCAAATGTACTGGTAGAAAAACCTGAAAAAGAACATAGTAGCACATCAGGAAGAAGTGGCACAGCAACTGTAACCTCAGCTATGGGGGAGACAGAAGCAGGAGGATCAATTTAAAGAGTTTAAGACCAGCCTGGACAACACAGTAAAAAAAAGAGAGGTTAGTATCATTCAAATTCAATCACTGACTTAAAATACTATAGTTTTGGAGGGGTCAGAGATAAAGAGTAAATCAAAACAATTCTATCAACCATACCAATACAACATTCTGTAAGACATGTGAATGATATATATTTGCTATAGCTGATAGTCACTAATACAAAATAGAGATCTTCAGATCAGCTAGAGAAGTTTGTCCATAACACTGGTTTTGTTAGATCTTTTTATTAGAACTACTTATTGGCCATCAGTAATTGGGCAGATGATCACACCATTTGAGACAGAAAAGACTGGGACAGAAAATTTTGGAGTTGAAAATTAATTCTAATTTTACAATGTTCCAGTTGAGATGACTACTAACCAAGTAAGTGATGCTCTATATGCAGGTGAATGTAGAACCCCAAAGCTCAAGAGAAAGCTTAAGACTAAAAATATAAAAAAGGTGGAAAGTGTCAACAAATTGATAGTATTAGAACAATAACTGAGATCATCTAAGGACATAATATAAAGCAGTAGGTTGCCTGGCAAGCAGGAGGTCCTGAGTTGAATTCCCAGTACCAAAAATAAAGAAAGAGGCAAGAAGGAGAAAAAGAAGAAAGCAAGAAAGCAAGAAAGAAAGAGAGACAGCAAGCAAGCAAGCAGTAGGTCTCAACCCTTGCTATACATTAGGTGGTCCCCTGGGATGCTTTGAAAAATTGATTCCTTATCCTAGCCAATAAATCAGAATCTTGTGAAGGGGATAATGCATCCACATTTTTTAAAGCACCCAAAGGAAATCAAAAGAATCTTTTATTATGAAAAATTTCAAATAGCTGATATTGAGTGAATGTCTCTTTCAAAAAACTCATGTCGAAATTTAACTACCATTGAAGAGAAAGTAGGTAAAAATCTTGAAGACACAGGGGTAGGCAAAGAGCTCATGAACAAAAACCAAACTGCACGGGAAATACTTCAAAGAACTGACAACTGAGATCTCATCTTATTGAAAAGTTTTTGCACATCTAGAGAAATCACCAACGGAGTACAAAGAAAACCCACAAATTGGGAAAAAATTTTAGCCAGCTGTACGAGACAAAGGACTTCTATCTAGAACATATAAAAAGCTAAAAAAAGTCAGGCCCCCTAAGTTTAAAGACTCAATCCAAAAATGGGCATCTGAGATGAATACACACTTCTCAGATAAAGAAATACAAATGGCAAATAAATACATGAAAAAATGTTCAATATGATTAGTCATCCAAGAAATACAGATTTCACCTCACCCCAGAGAGAATGGCTACCATCAAGAAATCAACCAATAACAAATGCTGGCAAGATTGTGGGGAAAAAAGAACCCTTCTCCACTGCTGGTGGGAGTGTAGACTGGAGCAACCTCTGTGGAAATCAGTCTGGAGATTCCTCAGTAAACTAGGTCTAGCGACCCCATTCAACCCAGCTATTTCCCTTTTGGGTATTTTTTCAGAAGAACTACAAACATCATACCACCATGATATATGTGCACCCATGTTTGTAGCTGCTCAATTTGTAATAGCTAAATTGTGGAAGCAACCCAAATGCCCATCCACTGAGGAATGGATAAAAAAATGTGGTATTTTTACATAATAGAGTATTACTCAGCTATAAAGAAAGATAAACTTGAGGCTTTCATAGGTAAATGGATGCAACTAGAGTCCATACTCGTAAGTGAAATAAATCAGACCCACATGTGTAAATACCATATTGTCTCACTAGTGTAGGAACCTGAAAGAGTAAGTAAAATCTGAAAGGTATAATGGATATTGTGAACGGGAAAGAAACTGATCAAAGGGAGGGAACAACTGGGATGAGGGAAAAGAGAAAAAGAAAGAAGGGAAAAAAATACGCATATATGTATATACACACACACACCCCTATACACACACAGGGTAACTGAACCATACTACCTACTTCTATTGCTTCACTGAAAGGAACAGCCAATGCTTACTTGTTTGACCAACTTCAATGCCTATATTTATTTAACTGAGTAACCATTTTGAAGATAACAATATGTAATACAATATCTATTGTTAATTTTCTACCACCTTATATGAAACTTTGTATTGCTTCTATTGTTTGGGTGTTGTTTTTTATATGCCTGTTTATTTGTTAATATGTTTTCATTCTTTACCTTTAAAAATAAAAAAAATTTAAAAAAGAAATTTAACTACCATTGTGACAGTATTAAGAGATAGGACTTATTAAGAGATAGGACTTTTAATAGATGATATAGTCATTAGGGCTCTCTCTCATGCTCTCAAACTTCCAAGCCTCCATCCAGAATCATGAGCTAACCTACTGTTTACAAACTACCTAGTCTGTGGTTTCTGTTATTGCAACAGAAAGACAACATCTTAGGATTGATCCCTAGGTAGCTTCAACATTCTTGAGTGTGAGCATGAAAGGAAGAGCTGGCGAAGATGACTAAGAAAGCAATCCAGTGACATATCATTTGAACATCAGTGTAGCAACAGCTCAGAGAAAAGTGTGTTAAAAGATGAGAAAGATCAAATGCTTAGGATACAATCAAAAGGTCAAGAAAGATAAGGTCAGAGAACTGCCAACTGCATTTGAGAACATGGAAGTCCTTTAGTGAGCAAAAGACCAATTTCAGTGGTAAAGTAGGAGTACTGGAATAATTATGACTATACAGTGGTACCTCAGCTCATACACGCTTTTGTTTGCAATTTCATCTGCAAACAGAAGGATTTGGCAAAATTTTATTTTTGTTTGCAAACGCGGCATAGGGTGACAAATACAATCACAACTCTTTCCCATACAAATGTGGCAATCTTTTCCAAAATTGTAGAACTAATTATGTTTGTGAACCAAGGTACCACTGTATTTAACTCTTTCAAGTTCTACTATGAAAAGCAAGGAGTACTAAAAATGAAACCATTTCAATTCCTATTGACTAGAGACAGACTCTTCACTCTCTGAGAGTGTACCTTTTCTGAAAAAACTAAAACTGAATACAGTATGCCCCTATTATTTTTTTAAAAAAAAAAAAACTCTTCTGGCTCCCTGTTGCTTTCAGAATGAAGTCCAGAGCATGGTGATAATACATGGATTAATATTCTGGCTCTAAAGCATTTCTTCTGCTTGAGAACCATACTTATGAGGATGACATTTAACCTGAGTTACACAGTGCAAATATAACACTATTAGATAGAGAGGTGGAAGGCTTCTGATGAGCATGTTACATGGACATTTGAAAGAACTTCAGCAACTGGAAGTTTATAAATGAAGAATAAATAAGAATTTTTGTACTTTTTTCAACTTTATGGTAAGTCTGAAATGATCACAAAATTAACATTTAAAGCATTTTTAAATGTTCTAAATTTAAAACATTTTAAAATGTTTTTAATTTAAAAGAGTCTCCTAGCTGGGTATGGCGGCACACACCTATAATCCCAGACTCAGGAGGCTGAGGCAGGAGGATCACTAGGAGTTCAAAACCAGCCTCAGCTACAAAGTGAATTCAAGGCCAGCTGAACTGCATAGTGAGACACTGCCTCAAAACAACCGAGGAGAGTCTCCTAGGAGTGGAGGGTACAGCTTAGTGGTCAAGGATTTGCCCAGCACGCACAAGACCCTGGGTTCTACTGGGTTCAATACCCAGCACTAGGGGAAAAAAAAAGAAAAGATTCTCCTAATCTTTAAATATTTTAAAAGATTATAATGACTGAAGGAATCTGATCAGAGACCACTTTAAGCCTCTTCCATCCCCCTATACTTTTACTCCTGCTAAAGATGTACAATCATGGGTTAATAAGGCCTAATAAGCACAGCTACACCTTCTCAGCCCTGCTCTTGACAAGCAACTACTTCTTGTCCTTTCTCAAGCTTCGTCCCTCACAGGTAGTCACAACTCCTTTCCACTGAACTCTCCTTCTTGAAAGTCTCAATTTGACCCTTCCCTTTCCCAGCCTCCCCTTATGCTCATGACCCTGTAAAAGACCTTACAGCTTGTATAAGAGTTACTGGTCTGGTCTAAGTGCCAGTGTGGCCCTTCTCAGGCTTGTTCTGAAATAAACCTGTCCTGCTGAGCTTGTATTTTTGTTTTTTCCTCCTTTTTTTCTAACACTGACAGTTTACAATTTGAGTTTTAAATCTGAGTCTAATAGAGACCAGAATTCAATCCAAAGTTTCTGACCACAGTGTTATTTTTACAACCTTGTCTTCCTACCTGACATGCTCAATTGCAAGTGCTGTCTGGTCAAACACTCCAGAGTCATCAAACACAACCCACAACTCCTGCAGGGGCAACTGGTATTCCTTCAGTTCAAGGAGCTCTTTCATACATTCCAAGGTAAAAGTGTTCACTTCAGATTCACAGACATATGGTTCAGCAAGCCTCACCACTGCCTTCAAGGCTGAAAAGTCCACATCTGTAACCTGAAATTTAAAACAATGTGACTCCACTTAACAAAGAAATCAAAATTAAGAAACCATATACAAAACACTACTGGTAGCTTAATCTTTCTTAAGCTTGAAATGGGGGTAGGGAGCCTTTTTCCATAATATAAAGGATAAATAAAACAGGCCTGGCTCTTACCTTGATGGCACTTATATTGTAGTTAGGAAGAAAAAAAGATGATGGCGAGTATGTAATAGAGAATAACTGGCAGGTATGGTGCTCAGAGTTTGCTGGGATAGCCAGGGGAATTCACCTCTGAGCTGTGAATTAGTGAAGAGAAACCAGCCACTGAAGACCAATGAAGAAGAACCAGAATAATGAAGAGGAACCAGCTACTGAAGACCAAAGGTACAAAAGTTACTGTGGCAGAGACAAGCTTTGACAGCTGAAAAAGCTAGTACTTTTTACTGGAACCAAAGGGAATCTGAAGAGGGATGGACAGGGAGAACAACAGATGAGGAGGGAGAGAGGCAGGGAGACCAGGACATGAAGAACATGAGAAAGAAAGATCATGATGCACAGTATATGAAACTTATTTTTCATAGAAGATTGTTTTCATATTTTCTTTGTGAATATCTATTTGTACATTAAAATTTTTGTTTAAGTTTAAAAACTATGGACAGGATCTCAGATTTTACCTGTTCTCTAGCACAATGAGAAACCAAAGCCAGCACTAGGCCTTGGTAAATGCAACCTAGGGGTTTGAGCAGAGAAATGACATTCTACTCTTTCAAAACAAAGACTTTGATTGCTTTTAGAAACCTGAGACCATGCAGAACCAAATTAACAGATCCAAACTTCAACTAAGGTATCAGCATAATCAAAATTGAAAAATTCACAAGGAACAGCTGCAACCCACTGCTCTGTACATAAGCAGCAGAATATGTAATTTTTTTCTTAAGGAGCTACAGCAACAATTTATATTCACATTCCCTGGTTTAACCTTTAGTTTAACAAGGCTTTTTGTGGTCTAATTAACAACAATGAGAAAAATCCACAGCTATAATTGAAAGTACAAATTTAATATAAAAGGCCCAGTCAGTTGAAAAATAAAGGTTGTTTGTACTTTCTGCCATAGGACACAGTATCAGATTAATCACACACCTATAGGTTTAACAGATAAAAAGTAGACTAGTTTTTAAATGCCTATTTGGTTAGAAGAGCTACTTAATGGGTAAAAAATTGAATCTCTACTGACTCTATAGTTATTTCTTCTTTTGTGTGTATGGTACTGAGAATTGAACCTAGAGCTTTCATAATGACTTACATCTCTAACACTTTTTTGAGACAGGGTCACTAAATTCACTAAATTTCCCAGTCTGGGCTCAAATTTGCAATCCTCACGCCTCAAACTTCTAGAGAGCTGGGATTAGTCATCCATCACTGGGACCAGTTTAGGCCTCATTTTTTAAATGATCCTCACCTTACAGGTTTAGAATACACCTCCCTTTTCAAAGGATGCTGAAATTTACCGTAATTTTCACGTAGCTTCTCCTCAGTTGCCTTTAAATTTTTCAGAACATCTCATACACTGTGGCAATTAGGGGGGGAAAACACGCTATTTTCAATCAGCTCATAAACTTTAAACTTAAGTACTTTAGTTGTAACAGTCTGAATTATAGCTAGACACAAACATCTTAATAAAAGAATCCCATTTACCTCAACCAACACCTTGAATACATTAGTGTGCCAGAGTGCCTGCCATCCAGATGGTACAAGCACCTTCTCCAAGAACTCAGCTGTGAATTCCCTGACTTCTGAGGCTTTGCAGTCAGCTGCAAACAAATTAAGAATAACAACTGAGAATACGTAAAGCACACAAGTTAATAAATCCATATAAATGCTCTTTCTCAAAACCAACCACTGGCAGTCTGAGGGACTAAGACAATTTATTTGTAAAATAAAACGACAAAAGAGGCAAGAACGACAAAAAAAAGAATCTACTTACCTAAAATGTAATCTTGATAGGCTCTGAATCGTTCATAGAACAAAAGTTGACTTGTTTGAAAGATTTCTGGGAAAGGAGACTTTCCTTCTGGCACAAAACCCTGTAAGCTATTGCCTGGCTTATGACAGTTACAATCACTGCATGAATCTTCAACTTGCAACAAAGCTAAAGAAAAACAAAAACATCACATATTTCTAGTGTTTATAGAATGCTTCTATTGTCACATCCTTGCTCACAAATTCCAAACAAATCACATAAAGGACTTGGGTATGAATGTTCTACTTACCTCTACTATTGTCAGAAGAAACTAGTTTTCAAAACTTAAAATATACAGGCGAGGCACATGCCTATAATCCCAGCACCCAGGAGGCTGAGACAGGAGGACTGGTGGGAGTTTGAGGTCAGCCAGGGCTATACAGTGAGTTAAAGGCCTACCTGAACTACACAGCAAGACACTATCTCAAAAAACAGCAACAATGCTAGGCGTGGTGGTGCACACCTGTAAACCCAGCACTCAGGAGGCTAGGGCAGGAAGACTGATGTGAGTTCGAGGCCAGCTTCAAACTGCATATTGAGACCCTGTCCCAAAAAACCCACAACTTAAAAGTACTTCTAAAGCCAAATTCAACTTCAAACAGTAACAGTTTAAGATTTTCACCAGTTAGGTTTTTGTTCTTGTTCCGTGAGGTTTGGGGGGAAAAACAGAAGACGATTTTTTTTTTTCAAAAAACTACCCAAGTTTTCCTTCAAAGGAGACAGTTATGACTTTTACTTTTACTAGTTAGTGAGTTATAATGGTCAAATGTCTTAGTTTTTCTCCCAAAACAACTCCAGTAAGCTACATTAAAAAAGGGAGCTGACTTCCTACATTCCCTCTTACATGAGTAGACAACTCTCACTCTCTACAGTACGCATCTGTCAATGGCATGTTGATAAATAGGGATGAGACATTATTAACAATGCATAAGGTTTATCACTAAAGCTACTACGTTCCTCCTTACTAATTTCGGTAACTTTAAGGGAAGAAAAATCAAAAGTACAAATCACCTTAAGTTTGGGTTGTATGTAACTGTTTCATAAGGCATGACTTGGCCAGCAGCATATCTAATTCTGTGTAAAAAGTTGTATTTAATAGACAGAGTGACTTTCTCTCCCAGGTCCCTTTATTTTTTCCTTCCAGTTCTTTGCCTCTATTCAGGTCGTCAGAATTACTTAACCCCACCAATAACCAAAGTAGACCTTAGACAGATGCAAAAAGGGGGGAAAAAAAAAAACAAAAACAATAAGAACCCAGGCATGATGGTGCACATCTGTGATCCCAGCACTGGGGAGCCTGTGCCAGGAGAACTGGGAGCAGAGGCACCCTGAACTAGACAGTCTCAAAAAAAAAAAAAAAAGCCTAGAGGGCTTCAATAACTATGACAATCTCTCTTTGCCTGCTTCCTTGTCTATAAAGGGAATATAAAAACAATATGCCTACTTCAATTAACAGACTTAAATCATTTCTTAATCATTTACAGCAGTACCTATTACATAGTACATTTGTTAAAGAGGCATAGTCGTGCACGCGTGGAAATCCAGCACTCCGGAGGCTAAGACAGGAGGATCGCTGCGAATTTGAAGCTGGCCTGGGCTACATAGTGAGTTCAAGGCCAACCTAAACTACATAGTGTGACCCTGTCTCAAAAACAAAACAAAACGAAAAACAAAATAAAAAGGAATGGGGGTCTGGGGACTTGGCTCAGCGATGCACCACAAAAACGATGATGTGCATGATGGAATCTCCATGAAAAGGTAAGAATAAACTGATGATTAGACCTGCGTTGTATTTTTGGACTCTGTCCCAAGTAAGTTATCTGCCCTCAGTGTTCAGAAGAGCTCTGGTACCTAGGTCAAGCGCCTTTCATTTTTGAAAAAGAAGTGGGGTCCTTAATCTCCTTTTGACATTCATTTAAAAAGAGCCTTCCATCGACAGATGCGCACGAAGTTCCCTCTGGCGTCCAGGTGGTCCTGGCGCACTCGGGGAAGCTGAGGCCATAGAGGGTGGAGACGGGGTCGCCTGGGTGTCTCGCGACTGCAACGTCTGGGCTGGCATCCCGCCACCCTGGTCCACCGCGGCCAGGCCTGAGCCCCGGCGTCCTGCCACAAAGCTCCGGGCCGCCACGAAGACGGCATGCCCGCTAAGGCAGGTGCTCACCTTCCTCCAGTGGCGCCGGTTCCTCCTCGGTTGCCGGGTCAGGGTGCCCCGGCGCCATCGCCTCAGGCTCTAGATCTCCACCTACCCGTAGCCTGTCCGCCATTTCAAATTTCCGCGGGAGACCGCCAAGACCGGAACTAACGTGGTGACGAAGGCACTTCTGATTGGACAGTCGGGGCTACGTGCTTCCCGGAACCCTGCCCCCACCAACGCCTCGGACCGCCCCTCAGACCGCCCGCGCCTGCGACCGCTCCTCGCGCCGCCTGCTAGCCCTCCGCCCGTGTTCTCTTCCATGTTCGCAGTCTGGCTTTTTGAGACCAATTTAAAGCTGAATTAGAGGCCAGGGATGTAGCTCAGCGGCGCAAGCGCCTGCCTGACAAGCGCAAAGCCCTGAGTTTGATTCCTGCTACTAAAAAGAAAAGAAAAAGCTCAGCTGGGATATAATTTGGGGTAATCTCCAAAAAACTAACAAGCCACAGCACACTCATTACTAATATTATTACCTAAGGCAAGTCCCTTCACCCCTCACAAGCAGACTGTAGGATGAACTGAGTGAGGGTTCCTCTCTCAATACACACACATGGTATTTTCGTTTTGTTTTTTGTTCTGTTTTGTTTTCGTTTTTGTTTTTTTTCCGGTACCGGGAATTGAACTCACGACATTGCGTTTGCCAGGCAGGCGATGTGCCGCTGAGCTAAATCCCCAGCCCCCGTCACATGGTATTTTCAAGGACTGTTAAGTCATATTTAGTAAGTGAAAGTATTGTTATTAAAGGAAACTTATTTAATCTTCAAAAATGATCCAAGGAGACAAGTAATATTATTACATCTATTTTACAGATAGGGAGATGGAGTCACTAAGAAGTTCAGTAACTTCTCCCATCTAATACAACAGAACCAAGATTTGAAACCAGCTACCCTACACTCTAGAGGCCAGCCTTTAATGACCCTGCCGGGCTCTCCCTACCAGGCTGAGGTCCACCTGAGACAGCAGGGGTTCCCAGGACTCCAGGCAGGATAAGTCCACAAAAGACCAAGAGCCCAGTCATGACAGCATGGCATTCTTATCACAGGGAAACATCTCCACTTACTGCTTTGAAGGAAAACTTTAACTGCAATGGAACCAGGAGAGGCACCTGTGGAAACCTGCACTTAATTCAGCTATCTTTTCAGCAGTGTAATCTTACATTTATTCATTCGCTGAGCAAATGCTTTTTGAGTACCATAACATGAAAATACAGAAAACAATAAAATGAAGACTAACAACAGGCCTTAAAATACTTTTTAACCCTTCCAGCCACACACCTCAACAGTGACAGTATTTTTCCTCACCCATTTCCCTCAGTACTGGAGATAAATAGCTTTCTTCTCATTTAATAACCAAATATTTAGTCAACCATAAAGATCATAGCCAAAACAGTGCTACTGGAAATGTCTGGGAAAGGAACCAGAAGCAACAGGAAATACCTAATGCTGTTAGAAACTCCATTAATGACAAATTATTAAGATGGAAGCATCTACTATACACAGCCCTTCTAATTTCCAAACCTATGTCAACATTTATTAATCACTTGCTCAGATTATAGCTGTTATGGTTTGTGTCTAAATGTCCCCCATAAGCCTTATACCGTCATGGGGAGAGCAGACTTTTCATAGGTGGCTGCATCTAGAGTTTGTAATTGATTCATAATCAAATGCTGGGATTATGGTGTGGGTGCTACACCCGCCCTACGGCAGGTAGCCTGCATACAGAATAAGAAACAGTAAGAGTCTTGTTTCTCCCTTGCTGCTTTTGCTGCCTTCTGCCTGCCATGAATTGCTCTCCTCTGTGAAGCTACCCCGCTTTGAAGCCAGCTGACGACAGACTGAAACCTCTACAAAACTGTGAGCTAAATAAATTTTTCCTCCTTTGACTTTGCATGTTGGGTATTTTGTCCCACCAACAAGAAAAGTAACTAAGACAATAGCAAAGGTTGCTACAATCTTTTTCTAAGTGGAGACCTTTCAGGAGTACACATTACTGGACATTTTGTTATTCTCGATGCCCCCTCTTCTTACCCCAAGATATGGTTTTTCTTCTTTGTCCTTACTAGTTCCTCCCTCTGTCCCATCACAACCTCCTACCTGCTCTATGGTGGGGCATCACCCACTAGTCCCTGTTTTTTAATATTTTCACTCTCTTCACCACTGTGTCCTCACACTGTGATCACATGTGGGTTCAAAATTAACTGTGCTTCTCCTTCCCCCCAAATAAAACTATGCAAAGCCAAATTGCAACCTTGAGATATTGACTTCATACTTGATAGGTTCCTGCCTAAGTATGAATTATTGAATCATTATGGTGGTGGTCTAACATGGCTGAAGCCCAAAAACAACAGCCTATCTTCCAAATGACCACTTCCCCCGCTTCTCCCCTCAGCCCTGACTACAACTTCCTCTTACCCTTCCCAGCCCTCAAGCTCAGCCTCTAGCCAGAGTCCTCATAAACCCCCAGCCTCCTTTGTTTACGTAGGAGGAGCTCTGTGCTGCATACAGTCCTCTCCTCTCCACGTCCTGAGTAAAGGCCTCCTTTTCCCTTTTTGTTTGTTTCTTCTTCTGCATCAAAAAACCTAACAATACTTTGTTTATCTCTAGACCCAAACTCCTTGGTAGTGCCTTCCCTCTCCTTTCTGGCAGGGAAGCATCTCCCTCTAAGGCCTTTCCTTTCGGCTCCTCTTCACCTTCTCCTTACAGCCTTCAGTATGGAAGCTTGATTACCCACCATGAGATGCTTTCATACTTTGGACTCTACATCCTTGCTGTCCTGGCCCTTCTTCTCATTCTCTGACTACTCTTTCCTGCCCTCGTTTCCTCTTCCTTCCTTAGACACCTCAAACACAAGCGATTCCCAAGGAGTTATCATGTGCACTCTGTGGCAACCAGTGACCATGCAATAAAAGTATCAATTAAAAGCTAATATCAATTATATAAAACAATAAAAATAAAACAAAATGAGATAGATTAAGGCATGGCAAAAATTGGCTGGGGAAGTAAGTGTGACCTGTTAACTACAAGATCCATGAGCACATGCACAGAATAGTTCTCAAAGCTCTACACATGGACTTTTCCTGAGAACTCAAGCAGGTTTTCAGCAGGATGCCTGGACCTGATGTCAGCATAAGGTGTGGGAACCCAACACTGCCTCTCAGGACCAGAAATTCTCATGGATTTCCTCGAGATTTGGAAGTATAAAGGACACACCACACCATGAACATATTGCTATCATAACTTTCAGTGATAGCCCATACTATGTTTCCCAGATGCAACATGTACTTTTCTTTACTCTTACCTTTTATTTCTATTTACTCGGCCCAAGATCACTCTGCAGAGCCCATTTCTCTCCCATTCTTCACTTTTACTTTCTCAAATAAACTTTGCCACTTCTTTTTACTCATTTTACTCTTTGTTTGATCTAGAAACACTAGGTCTACTGGAAGAGAAAATAGTTGAAAATCTTGAAGACATAGAGGTAGGCAGAGAGTTCATGAACAAAAACCAAACTGCATGGGAAATACTCCAAAGAATCAATAACTGGGATCTCATCTTATTGAAAAGTTTGTGCATATCAAAAAAAATTACCAACAGGGTAAAAGAAAACCTACAAATTGAGAAAAAATTTTAGCCAATTGTTCCTCAGATAAAGGACTCCTATCTAAACCATATAAAGAATTTTACAAAATCAGGCCCCCCAAATTCAAAGACCCAATCCAAAAATGGGTATCTAAGATGAATATACACGTCTCACGTGCAGAAATACAAATGGAAAATAAATACGTGAAAAAATACCCAGGAGGGGAATAGCTGGGTTGAAGGGGACCTCTAATCCTAGTTTACTGAGGAATCTCCACACTGATTTCCACAGTGGTTGCACCAGTCTACACTCCCACCAACAGTGAAGAAGAGTTCACTGAGACAGACTCACTCTGATCCTCCTCTACACTCTAAGGAAAGTGTCAAGCCCAATTTGCTTCAGTTTTCTTTCTCTGGCCTTACTTCTAATCTTTTCCTACTATTTTGTACTTTCCTATTTAGAGGAATATAAAATTAGAAAGAAAAGAACTCTAGACTGTTCTAACCTTTTCCTCCCATTCAACAACTAAGTTAAGGGGCTGGGGATTTAGCTCAGCGGCAAAAGCGCCTGCCTGGCAAGCGCAAGGTTGGGAGTTCGGTTCCTGGTACCGGAGAAAAACCAAAAAAAAAAAAAAAAAAAAAAAAAACAACTAAGTTAAGCACATAGAAAATGAACATTTGCTAACAATGAAAACAGGGAAGTCATCTTAGAGGAGGAACACATATCCCATCTCTGAGTCAGATGAGACATTGGAATTTCACCCATCCAGGAGAACACACATAAAAGACATGTGCCAGCTTAATGTTCTGGACAGTTCTCACTCAGGAAACTGAACCTGAGACACCATGGAAAGAACCAATTTCTGGGTGAAACCAGGAGCTCCTTCCAAAAGCACCACACTTATGGGACCAAAACTCATTTAGCCCAAGGGAAGATCTTTCACCTTTCCTCTTCTCCTCCTATGTCTAGTTATACTGTATGTGTATAGGAAAAATACTTTGATAATAAGTTGTGGACTTTAAAACTTTGCTGTAAACTTCTAAAGCACTAGGTTAAGGATTTTGCTCAGGCTTTTAACTATCTCTTACAGAACTTTGACAAACAGTGTTTACTCTGCCGGCTAATTAAATGTTCTTAGAGTAGCTGCCACTCTTAAAGCAGAGGACACGTTTCCCCCAGCATCTCTTTGGTGAATCCCCATTGAAACCAATGGCCAATGGAATGTTGACCAGTCAGTTGAATTTCTTTCTAGAGACTGATTTCTGGTTGTTTGGGCCAATAGAAGCTGAGAACAACTGAGAGATCATGTCCAGGGATACTCTCAGGTGGATACCCAAAGGTTCCTCAGTAGAAGCTGGCTCCTGACCACAGAAAAATGTCCACTTATCTACTGTTCTTATTTCTCTGTGCTAGTAAACTAGAAATTCTCCCTAAGCTTTTCAGTCAATGTTAGAACCACTTAAGCTACCTCTCCCTTCAGAAATTAGTCTGAGGCAGCTTGCAAGGACTGTTTACATTTCACAGCAGCTGAGC